CTTCATTTCGGATAGGCGTCCACCGCTCCATGTGTTTGAGGGAGGCACATTGACTGATCAAATATTCAGGACCGAGAATGTTAATCCCTGTGTGAGATAATTTGCATCACAGCTCGGGTTTATAGCTAACTCTGCTCGTCCACGTTAGACATTGATCTCTTCAAGAACGGTAAGGATATTCAGAGAATGGACTGGCCAGCCAGATCTCCGGACCAACAGAACATGTCTGGGATGTATCAGGCAGTCGCAGTGAAGCTCGTCTCAACCTTATTGCAGAATATTCGAGGTAAAATCTATAAGAGTGGAGTTTTCTGCTACTCTCTAAAGCCTGTTATTTACACGAAAGCTTGCTGTAAGAGTTGTAGAGAGAGAGAGAGAGATTGAGATTGAAGCTACTTTATTACATCGTTTATATAAGACTATATAATGTGTTGAATTTAGATATCTATATAGATAATACCGTAACAGAGTTTTCCATTGTAAAGTCCTGAGCTATCTCCTCCGAAGATTCTGAACTACACATAACAATCTATATACCAAAATTTTCGTTATTTTTTTCTTCGTATGATAGGCCTGTTTTTATTTTCCTAATGTTAACAGTTATTTTTATTTTTTAATTTAATCTATTTTACAATCGTAGATTTTTTGCATTTATCATCATCAATTCATTTGTTTTGAAATGCGTAAAAATGTGTTTTGAAATAATATATATTTCTGATTCATTTGATTATGTAAGTACTTTGTTATAGTTTTTCATTTAAATATATAAATTTTTCGAATTGTAGATTGAATTATTACTTTTATTCTATAATAATTATCTTTTATAAGTGTTTGTTTTAGTTTTTCATTTGAATTTAGCACAATTTTTGTATCTGGTTATCTTTTTTGGCATCTTTTCATCTCTCTTTGGCATCTTTTTTTTTTCTCATTAATAAGACCTAATCCAAATAATTTAATAGTGTGTGACGTTTCAGCAACAGCATCAGACAGAAGAATAAATGAACTAAAGAATAAAATCTCATTTTTTCTTTTGTCTGATGATGGTGGCATTTGGATTAGGTCTTATTTTTTTTTATTAATTTGTTATAGTTTTTCATTTGAATTTAGCTCCATTTTTGTGTCTTATTTCTTCTTTATATTAAAACTTAGAATTAAGCTTTGCTTTTTTATATACATGTTTATTACACATTTAGCAATACTTTTTCTTTATATTTGCTCTTATTTTCTCATTTTTTTACTCTTTCACAATCAGATTTTGAAAATGGCTAAATGGCTTCACTTCTCCCTATTTGCTTTTGTAGCTTTTCTTATAAAAAAAATATTAGAACTTAGAATTAAGCTTTGCTTTTTTATATACATGTTTGTTACACATTTAGCAATATATATACCAAAATATTTTTTTGAATACTTACCTCTTTTAGTGAATTTTTGTCAGGGGGGCTGCAAAAGTGCCGTACTTATGCAGTATTTTGATGCTTTTCCTGTGAAAAGGATAATGAAATTTAAAATTAAGCTTTGCTTTTTTATATACATGTTATTTACACATTTAGCAATATATACACAGAAATATTTTTGGAATATTTAACTTTTTTGGTGAATTTTTGTCAGGGAAGCTATGGACTGCCGTAATCATGCATTATGTTGATGTTCTTCTCATAAAAAAAATATTTGGGTTTGGAATTGGGCTTTGCTTTTTTGTATACATGTTTTTTACATATTTAGCAATTTACACACAGAAAAATTTTGGAATATTTAACTTTCTTGGTGAATTTTTGTCAGGGAAGCTATGGACTGCCGTAATCATGCGGCTGCAAAAGTGCCGTACTTATGCAGTATTTTGATGCTTTTCCTGTGGAAAGGATAATGAAATTTAAAATTAAGCTTTGCTTTTTTATATACATGTTATTTACACATTTAGCAATATAATATACACAGAAATATTTTTGGAATATTTAACTTTTTTGGTGAATTTTTGTCAGGGAAGCTATGGACTGCCGTAATCATGCATTATGTTGATGTTCTTCTCATAAAAAAAATATTTGGGTTTGGAATTGGGCTTTGCTTTTTTGTATACATGTTTTTTACATATTTAGCAATTTACACACAGAAATATTTTGGAATAATCAACTTTCTTGGTGAATTTTTGTCAGGGAAGCTATGGACTGCCGTAATCATGCATTATGTTGATGTTCTTCTCATAAAAAAAATATTTGGGTTTAGAATTGGGCTTTGCTTTTTTATATACATACTAGCCGAGTGACCCGGGCAACGCCCCGGGTTTACCCGAAGGACCCGCAGGTGAGAAACTATAGAAGAAAAATTTTAACAAATCAGAAAATGAAATTGCAAACAACAGAACTACACTACTTTAAGGACATGAGAGCACATGCACTGTATCACCATACGTGTACCATTTTCAAAGACCCTGCTTAGGATTAAAACTTCTCAGAAGCATAACAATAGTACCAACCTAGAGGTTAACTGGTGTGGATGCATTCCTCTGGGAGTGAGACTATTGAGAAATTCAGTAGGGAGTTATTTTGCTTCTCCGCATTCTAACACTCCAACTGTTAACACTGTGGAAACACTGAATCATGTTTGGTAAGCAATTTCAGGGAAGAAACTATAGACATTGGATTAAATAAATTATTAATTAAATTGCATTAAATAAAAATTATTAGATTTAAATAAATATTATTAGAGTGAAAAAAAAAGAAAGAAATTAACAAATTAGAAAATAAAATTTCGAAAAATACAACTATATTGCAGATAAGATAAGAGGACCTTATTGAAAAATACATAAACAAACTGTAATTCGACACTCGATAATTCGACACTTTCGATAATTCGACACTTTCGATAATTCGACACTTTCGATAATTCGACCATTTTAAAAATCAAATTTACAAGGTTGATTGTTGTTTAAATACAACTTTGCTTTTGCATGCATAAACACAGGCTCTTGTAGCAAGAACCCAAATATTATTTATAGTCATAGCAAAAGCCAACTTTAGTGAAAACTGATGCCTCTTCAGAATGAATGGAAGACTGAAATCTGAAGGAGCAGAAGATATGGGTCATTTATACTTTCACCAATGCCTTTAGGATCTTTGCGATGGAACGCGTATGGTGTTTCAGCGCATGTGCTCTCATGTCCTTGAAGCACATATACTGACAGTGCCCAAAGTTGAACACACTGTATAGTGTCTGAAATATCTTTGGCCCCTTCGAATACCAACCTTCGCTTCATTCTAGAGAGGCGTTAGTTTTCATGTCATATTTGTAATATAGTTTTGTTGTTTGCAATTTTCTTTTTTTTTTCCTTTCAAATATGTATCCACTCTGAAATATAGTTTGTAAATTTTTATTCCAATTTATTTTCTTATATATATATGTATTTTTTTTCATTTCCAAAATATTTATTTATACTTTCACCAATGCCTTTAGGATCTTTGCGATGGAACACGTATGGTGTTTCAGCGCATGTGCTCTCATGTCCTTGAAGCACATATACTGACAGTGCCCAAAGTTGAACACACTGTATAGTGTCTGAAATATCTTTGGCCCCTTCGGATACCAACCTTCGCTTCATTCTAGAGAGGCGTTAGTTTTCACTAAGGTTGGCTTTTGCTATGACTATAAATAAGGCTCAAGGCCAAACCTTGGCTACAAGAGCCTGTGTTTACGCACGGACAACTTTATATGTGGCTTTTTCAAGTGTGCGAACATTGGATAGCATACATGTAAAGATGACCCATATCTTCTGCTCCTTCAGATTTCAGTCTTCCATTCATTCTGAAGAGGCATCAGTTTTCACTAAAGTTGGCTTTTGCTATGACTATAAATAATATTTGGGTTCTTGCTACAAGAGCCTGTGTTTATGCATGCAAAATCAAAGTTGTATTTAAACAACAATCAACCTTGTAAATTTGATTTTTAAAATGGTCGAATTATCGAAAGTGTCGAATTATCGATAGTGTCGAATTACAGTTTGTTTATTTATTTTTTAATAAGGTCCTCTTATCTTATCTGCAATATAGTTGTATTTTTCGAAATTTTATTTTCTAATTTGTTAATTTTTTCTTTTTTTTTTCACTCTAATAATATTTATTTAAATCTAATAATTTTTATTTAATGCAATTTAATTAATAATTTATTTAATCCAATGTCTATAGTTTCTTCCCTGAAATTGCTTACCAAACATGAGTCAGTGTTTCCACAGTGTTAACAGTTGGAGTGTTAGAATGCGGAGAAGCAAAATAACTCCCTACTGAATTTCTCAATAGTCTTACTCCCAGAGGAATGCATCCACACCAGTTAACCTCTAGGTTGGTACTATTGTTATGCTTCTGAGAAGTTTTAATCCTAAGCAGGGTCTTTGAAAATGGTACACGTATGGTGATACAGTGCATGTGCTCTCATGTCCTTAAAGAAGTGTAGTTCTGTTGTTTGCAATTTCATTTTCTGATTTGTTAAAATTTTTCTTCTATAGTTTCTCACCTGCGGGTCCTTCGGGTAAACCCGGGGCGTTGCCCGGGTCACTCGGCTAGTATATATATATAAATAAAACGACACTTGCAAGTTTAACCGCATGAGTTTCTTTTCAATGACAAATTAAAATTTTATTTTAAGGTGAAATATCGACAATTTCTAACCTTTTGGATGAGGTATGAAAGGATTAATTATGAAGATTAATGACGAACGGAAAAATAAAAGTGTCCAGGGATGGGAATCGAACCCACGACCTTCCGCTTACCGGACAGATGCCATGTCCACTAGGCTACCCTGGACGTATTTTTCCGTTCGTAAATAATACATAAAGTAACTTATAATACAATATAATATACTGCGGCTTGTGATTGTAAAACGACACTTACAAGTTTAACCGCATGAGTTTCTTTTCAATGACAAATTAAAATTTTATTTTAAGGTCAAATATCGACAATTTCTAAACTTTTGGATGAGGTATGAAAGGATGAATTATGAAGATTAATGACGAACGGAAAAATAGCCTAGTGGACATGGCATCTGCCCGGTAAGCGGAAGGTCGTGGGTTCGATTCCCATTCCTGGACACTTTTATTTTTCCGTTCGTCATTAATCTTCATAATTCATCCTTTCATACCTCATCCAAAAGGTTAGAAATTGTCGATATTTCACCTTAAAATAAAATTTTAATTTGTCATTGAAAAGAAACTCATGCGGTTAAACTTGCAAGTGTCGTTTTACAATTACATGCCGCAGTATATTATATATATAAATAATATTATATATTGATATATGAAAAAATACTAAATAAAATGATAAAAAGATCACAGGTGTTGGTATTAAAATAAAAAAAGACATATCCTAACGACGCTCACATCAGCTTTTTAAATGGAAGAAGGCCATTCTGTGGAACAGAAATCATTTAATCGTTGATTTTCTTTTAATTTTTCCAGAATTTTCCAAATACCGTTTCTTGGTTTATCAAGAAAATGGGTTGGCCAAATAACAGGAAACAGGTTAAATCAACTTTTAGTTTATTTCTGTTTCACTAGATGGCGCTCTGCCATTTAAAAATCTTATGTGATCGTGGTCAGGATATGTATTTTTTGAAAATTATATATTTTTGCATAAATAAATATAAATAAAGAAGGCATAAAAAGCACCTGTGCTCGTGGTCAGGAAATGCCTTCTTTATTTTTAATATCAACACCTGACCCACTTATCTTTTATAAATATAGAGAGTTAGCGATAACTGGGGTAACGTTGAACTTCCCGGGATGGGAGTTGTAGAGCTGTTAGAGGGGACTTTTTTCTGATCCTTATTTCTGGAATATAGAATTTGGATAGATTTGAAATAATTTGAATATTCTCATTACTAGTTTAATCCCTATAAGAAGGCTAGATTGATTACCCTTAGAATAAACAATTTATGTACAAAATTTCATATTCTATTATTTAAAAAGTATTTCAATTTCAAAATATACCTCTTTTCTTGTTGAATTAATGTTAAACACCAGTGTAGACATTCAAAATAAGGTAACCTTAACAAAACTCAGACTTATATTTATTGCTTTCAAATATATTTATGAAAATTACAAGTATTTTAAGGATTGCATCCTCATTTTCAGATATGTTTGATATATTTTGTATATTTCAAATCCTATGTAATATTATCATTTTGAAAATCAGTGTTTGCGCCAATAATTAGACTTTCAATGTACAAAACTTCCTCAATAGCCAATAACAATTCAATTTTAAAATTTAAGTTTTTGTCTCGTTGCATAGTTAATTGAATGATTAACTCCATTAACCTGGAACATCGCACAAAGAGGGGAAAATTCAATGACTTTTCGGTTCATCAAATTTGATGTTAACATCTACAGACAAAAACAAGAATTGTCCAGAGTTCAACCTACTAACCTGGAAATCTATAAGGGCGTCCACTAGGCCTACCTAAGTTACAAAGATGTTTTTTTGTGGTTACTTTGTGTTCCTTGTTTCACTTCCGCTATCTATGATGGCAGAAGTCTGGATGTGTGGACAATTCTTCGTGACATGTTTCTATTGGCTGGAGAAGATGATGATAATTGAGATACAATTTTGTTTCACTATTTACATTCATGGACAAATCTTAAGGTAGTTTCCTATTTTGATGTAGCCGAGCGTCTGTCTTTTAAAAGAGACAGAGGCAATTTTGTTTCACTATTTGCATTCATGGACGAATCTTAAGGTATTTTCATATTTAATGTCGCCGAGCGTCTGTTTTTTAAGGAGAGAGAGGTCATTTTGTTCATACTTGACTATCTCGTGTGTTTTCAATAAAGGTCATTGTGTATACTGAGTTATTGTCTGAATACCGATATACATGCTGAAAGGTACAACTTCTGTAAGTTTTGTCCATGAGTGTATCTTTCAGAGTTATTGTCTGAATCCCGATATACATGCTAAAAGGTACAATTTCCTTAAGTTTTGTCCATGAGTGTATCTTTCAGAGTTATTGTCTGAATCCCGATATACATGCTAAAAGGTGCAACTTCTGTAAGTTTTGTCCATGAGTGTATCTTTCAGAGTTATTGTCTGAATCCCGATATACATGCTAAAAGGTGCAACTTCCTTAAGTTTTGTACAAGAGCAATAGTTACCTAGAATTTCTTAAAATAAAAACATGGCTGTTGGGTAAAGAGTTTCTTTTTATTTTTTACTAGCGGATGTATTCGGCTTCGCCCGGGTTTTACCTGAGAAAAGGTTTGCCTAACGTAAATATGATAGAAAATATTTTGGAGCAAACATGCACTCTCCCCACAAACTACTAAATAAACCAATAATTATTTATAACAATTAATATATCGTTAAAAAATTTTACACAAATAAATTTACTGGAAATGCGAGCAATAATCAATTATATTATTAATTATAAATATACAAGGTAGGATCAAAAAGTTGCTCAACTTTTTTAAAATTTAATCATTTATTCATAGTATAGTAATTTAAACATCATTTTTTTCAAAATAGGATCCTTGGTTATCTATACATTTTTTCCAGCGTGAAAAAAAAGCTGTTGAAATGCTAATTCAAATTCTATTTTTCTCAACTTGTTTAGCTCCATCATCGCATTTTCAATTACTTCTGATGACGATTAAAAGCGCCTCACTTTTAACGTCATTTTAAGTTTTGTAAAAAAGAAGAAATCACATGGGACGGTATCAGGAGAGTAAGGAGGATGCGGCAAGACAGATAAAGAGTGTTTGGCTAAATAGTCTTGAACAATAATGGCTCTATGAGCAGGGGCATTATCATGTAGAAATTTCCAATGTTTTGATTTAAAGAGTTGTTTTCTTCTTATCGCATCACGAAGGCGCACAAGTATTTCTTTGTATGCCTGTTTATTAATAGTAACCCCTCTTTAATAAATTCATAATAGACAAGTCCTTTATAATCGAAAAACACTACAAGCATTACTTTTCCTTTGGACTTGTCAAGACGAACTTTCTTCTTCCTAGGAGAACTTGGTGTGCGCCATTCGAGTGATTGTTTTTTGGTTTGAGGCTAAAAACGAAAGCACCATGTTTCATCACCAGTTATTATTGTTTAAAAAAAATCAGAATCAATATTTGCAATTTCAATTAAATTTTTGCAAATTTATAATCTGGTTTCTCTTTGTTGATCTGTTAAATCTCGTGGAATAAAATAACCACAAAGTTTTTTCATGTTTAAATGTTCACCAATAATTTTTTGGCAACTACCACACGAAATTCCAAGTATTTCTGATATATTATCAATAGTAATTTTTCTATCAGCAACAATTAAATCACGTACCTGTCCAATAATGCGATCCGTTGTTGACGTCAATGGCAGACCTGACCTTGAATCATCTGCGATGCTCTTACGGCCATCTTTAAAAAGGTTTATACCAGAAATAAACTTGCGTTCGTGACAATTTTTCCTCTTCATAAGCCTCATTCATTAATGCTAATGTCTCTATGAAAGACTTGTATGCCTAAAATGAAAACTACGCATGCGCATTTACTGGCGTTGCTAAATTAAATTATAGTTTAGGCTTTGTTCTTTACATTAAAATTGATTTTACATTTTGAAAAGTTGTTTTTTATATATTATTTTTTAAAAGTTCGGGAACTTTTTGATCCTACCATATAAAATATGTAATTATATTCTTATATATAAAATTCCATTTTTGTTGTCTGTTTCGCGATAAACTCAAAAACTACTGAACCAACTGGTACCAAATTTTGCATGTCGCTTTTTAAAAACCTGAGGAAAATTTTCGGCTACATTTTGATTAGTATTTTTGGCTATTTATTTTTTCATTTGAAGAAATTTTTTTTAGGCGGAGTAAATACGAGGCGAAGTAGCAACACCAGGCCAATTAAGCGACCAATGAGCGTTCTGCTTTTTTTTTTTTCAAGTTACTTGCGTACTTTTTAAAATATCTTTTTATACGAGTTTTACTCTTTTTTTTACAAAAGTATTGAGTATTGAGAGAGAAATTTATATTACTAAGTTACGGTAAGTGCACACAATGCAATTAAAAAAAAAAACTTCACAAAATTAACGTTACTTTATGTAAATAATGGCTTTCATATTTTTTATCAGTTTTTGTTCTGGCCTTTTTTTTTATCGCTCAAAAAAAATCGTTTGAAATGCAGTCGCAGTCATCAACAAATACACATGTTTGCCTAATTTCCATGTGCTCTTTTATTTTTTACTGAAAAATATTTACATGCCAGTATTTTAGATTAATTTTTTTATAAACCTATTTTTTCTTATTCTTACTGAGAAGATGGGCATCGCAGTCACTCACTCAACTCAGGCAATTTCAAGGGTTAATGCGCTGGTGCGGGTACCTCCGGGGTTGGGTGGAAAAGCTGTCATCTATTTAAACTATATTGATTTTGAAACAACTAATTGGATTAAAAAAATTATTGAATCAAATACCTAAACACTAATATAATACAATTTTTGCCATCACACACACTTTTTGTCTGTGGTTCATGTGTTACTTCTGTATTACTCTTCTGTGGCACTTCTACTATTTATTATTGATGTACTTTCAGTATGAAGGAAATTGTACTCGGGAGAATTCTCGGGCTAAGCCGGGTCATTCGTATAGTAATATATATTAATTTATTGGTTTAAAGTTTCAGCTTGCGCTACACTAGTATTATATTAAACATGTCTAAATAGTGCTTGATTTCAATTAATCTATTTTATAACATTCTTATATATAGATGGAAATTTGTTTTGACGGGAGAGGCGACCCTTGTCTCTTTATTCTTATATATATATATATATATATATAATATATATATATATAAATTAGGAAGAGATCGCCTATATCTTGGATCAAGACTATTTATTCTTCCAATAATCCAAGGCTGTGGATAGAATTCCAAGTAAGTAGTGTTGTGCAGGGGATGTTCCTAGCAGAGGCAACAAGCGGCCACGTCGAAATACTGGAAGATATCAATAAATAAGTCTGTGATCCTATATATAAATGTATCTCATTTATGAATTGCTCCATCCTTCGATAGATAGAGTATAAAGTCTATAGAGTTCCTAGAAACGAC